CCTCTCTCCCTCTATGGATTTGTTCAATACTCTTTTAAAGCCATCCAAATCTGCGGCCATCACTGCTTCCTGTGGCAGTGAGTTCCACAGGTTAACTCGCTCTCTGCTCTCACATCAGTCCTGTTTTGTTTTGTTTTTACCAAAGGACAGTGAAACCTATCCAGCGCTTCCAAGCCCCGTTTTTCTAGGCAGCTGCTCTTCCTCCGAAGCACATTAGCACAAGAAGCTATGGGAACATCTCTGACCCATCCAGTTTGCCCTGACTTCCCACGGCGCTGTGCCGACCTTGCTACATACAAGGGGTGTTGCAAGGTACTTAAACAGGCCCTTGACCCAAATATGCTCATTCATATGGATAGATGCAAATCCAGGCTTTCAGGAGTTCACATCAGAAAACTATTAGACTGTTTTTCTTTAAAGCCTTCATGAAAATTCACCAGCATTTTAAGTGCAAATTTCTCCTAATGTGGACATTTGTGTATGCAGCTTTGCACCCCCTGGAGTTTGTGAGACGGTTTCAAGGGCAGCCCCGCATAGAGCAAATTACAGTAGTCAAGCCTGGAGGTGACCGTCGCATGGATCACGGTGGCCAGGTCGGGGCAGGAAAGGTAAGGGACCAACTGCTTTATCTGGCCAATGTGCCTGGCCAATATCGAACACTGCTTTCCCCAGGAGAAAAGTATCCTATAAACAGAGAATTCTCCTCTGACCTCCCAAGGAAGTGTGAAGCCATACAACACTGCTGTTAGCAGGATCCCCCTTGGGCAGGCCTCACTTTCCTAGACCGGCTCCCAAACCAACTATTTCCCCAACGTCGTTCTTCGAGGACAGCCAAAACAAGAGCGATGTCTTTGCTCAATCAGCAAGCCTGCTCCGGGCAGGAGAGCTCTGTGGGCAGATGTTTTTGCAAGAAGCACACCTCAGACGGCAATTGCAGGGCTTAATGAGCACCTGTTTGGAGCTTGGTGCTGTGGAGATGTCAAAACAACAACAACCGGTGTTCATGAGAACAGAGTGGGAGAGAAAGAGAGAGAGAGGTTTGGTGATAAGAAGCAGCAAGGAGGAGTGGAAGGGCATGTGGGGCATAGCATATGCCACCTGAAACTCTCAAGGAGGTAGGGCATTCTCAATAGTGGCGCCCACCTTGTGGAACACCCTCCCATCAGATGCCAAGGAGAGAAGTAACTATACAACCTTTAGAAGACATCTCAAGACAGTCCTGTACAGGGACGTTTTTAATGTTTGATGTTTTACTATGTTTTCGTATAGGTTGGAAGCTGCCCAGAGTGGCTGGGGAAACCCAGTCAGATGGGTAAAGGTAAAGGGACCCCTGACCATTAGGTCCAGTCGTGGCCGACTCTGGGGTTGCAGCGCTCATCTCGCTTTATTGGCCAAGGGAGCCGGCGTACAGCTTCTGGGTCATGTGGCCAGCATAACTAAGCCGCTTCTGGCGAACCAGAGCAGCGCATGGAAACACCGTTTACCTTCCCACTGGAGCAGTGCCTATTTATCTACTTGCACTTCGTGTCTGCAGACAGTTTTCCAGGTTGTGTGGCCAGCATGACTAAACCGCTACTGGCGCACAGAGGACAATGACAGGTGCCAGAGCACATGGAAATGCTGTTTAATTTCCCGCCACAGCGGTACCTAATTATCTACTTGCACCAGCATGCTTTCGAACTGCTAGGTTGGCAGGAGCTGGGACTGAGCAATGGGAGCTCACCCCGTCGTGGGGATTCGAACCACTGACCTTCCGACCAGCAAGCCCAAGAGGCTCAGTGGTTTAGACCACAGCGCCACCAGCGTCCCTATCTGGACAGAGACAGCCTATGCTCTGGTAACCTGCAGGTTGGATTACTGCAATGTGTTATACATGGGGCTGCCTCTGAAGACAGTTCTGCTGAGGCAGAATATAGCAGCCAGGTTGCTCATGGAGGAAAGATGGTTTGAACAGGTAACACCGATCCTGGTCTGACTGCACTGGCTGCCCATTAGTTTCCGGGCCCATTCAAAGTGCTGGTTTTGACCTATATAAAGCCTTAAGCGGCTCAGGACATCAATACCTCAAGGACCGCCTCTTTCTGTATGAACCTGCCCAAACCCTAAGATCATCCTCCAAGACCCTTCTTCGTGTGCCTCCTTCAGAAGAGGGTGGCAAAAAGAGTACTGGTCTTTTCTGTGGTGGCTCCTCATTTGTGGAATGATCTCCCCGTGGAAGCTCACCTGGTGCCTTCCTTGAATATGTTTAGACTGTTGTTGTTGTTGTTGTTTAGTTGTTTAGTCATGTCCAACTCTTCGTGACCCCATGGACCAGAGCACGCCAGGCACTCCTGTCTTCCACTGCCTCCCACAGTTTGGTCAAACTCATACTGGTAGCTTCGCCAGGCGAAAATATTCCTCTTCAACCAGGCCTTGGGTTTATTAAACAAACTGGAATCAATTTCACGCATTGCCCCACCTGAACTCACTGTGGCAACTTTGGAACCCTCTGCCTATTGATATCAGGTAAGTGTCAATGTTTTCTTTTCGGCTGAAGACATTTCCATTGAGACAAGCCTACTGAGATGTTTAGAAAGTCTGTACTCTGTTTTAATTTGTTTCAATCTATTCCATTGTGGTTTAAACTTCCTCTTTGCTTTAAATTATGGTTGCTGATTTTTTTAGTGATAACTTCATAGAGGTCTATCTGAGGCTTCTTCCTATGATCAAGCTGCAGATAGATTTTATGAATCTTTTTTAAATGTGCAATCTATGTTATATGGCTTGGCTGAGATTCTTTCGCCGCGAGCTGTTTAGCGGAGGATCTGTGGTCCCGAAAAGTACATGGAAAAGGAAGGGAATGATGTTTCCTTGCGCTCAATCGAGGACTTTTCATTCTCCCTGCACCCCCAACTCACCCAAGCCAAGCCAACCATCCTTGCCAAGCCCTGAAGCCACAAGCGATGAGCTCACGCCACCGCCTGCAGCAGGAAAAATACTGCCAGCATAATGGCAGAGAAAACCCCCTCCCCATCGGCGCTGATGTCTCAGCTGACCTCATAACTCCTAACTGAAAACAGGCGCCTCTTAGTCATCTCTCCTCTTCCTGGGACAACAAAGAACAATCCAGGGTGTGGCTTTATTGTCTTCCAGAGGCTTGAGCTGCCTTCAGTTGTAGCTGACCCCTTTGTTTGAGCTTATCCTGTTCCCATGGAAAGGGCTGGGGGCCCTTTTGCAACCCGGAGCCCACATTCGCCTCTGGAAAACCTTTTGAAGGCTGCATGCTGGCATTGGGCAGGGCCACGGGCAAAATGCATGCCGATTTCCCCTCTCGTTCATCCTTCGGGTTTCGACACATGCCACTCTCTTATCTGGACAATCAGGAGGCGTTGTGGACATTCAAGGACACTGTGTAGCCTGAGAGAGACTTTCAAGGAGGCGGGAGGGGGTGAAGAAGGGGTGTGTGGACCTCTGTGGGGTGCTATCAGAGCTGGTTTTTAGAGTGAAGGGAGCACAGGGGTGTTGTGTCCTGAACCCTACCCCTCAGGGTTGTTGTGGTGATTAAATGAGGAGCGGCGGGTGGCAGAGAACCATGAACACCACCTCATGCTCCTTGGAAAAATGAATATCAGCCTCGATAGCTCAGTTGGCTAGAGCGTGGTACTGATAACGCCAAGGTTGCAGGTTCGATTCCCCGCATGGGACAGCCTGTTCCTGCATTGCAGGGGGGTTCCCTTAATGATTCTATGATTTCAGCGAAAATAGTGAGTTATAAACGCATCCGTGATCTTCGGGCACATAAATTTAACGAATGAGATCATAGTAACGAATAAGCAACACAAAACAAAACGGCAGCCTCTCCACCAGTTTTCATCTAGACGTGGCTAGGAAAATGATGAAGGGAAGGGCAATGGCCAAACAGCTGAAGAAGGTCCCAGGCTGGAGACCTCTAGGTGGGGCTTGAGATGAAATCCAAGTGAGAGGCTGCCATACGGAGCTAGAGGGACAAAGGTTCCCAGGCTTAGTGCAAGGCAGCTTCCTGAGCTCCTATCTGGGAAGGGCCATCCCCTTTTGCTCTGCATGGAGTCACAGAATTGTTGGAAGGGACCCCAGGGGATCATCTAGTCCAACCCCATGCAGATGGTTCCTGGTTCAATTGGGGCTGCTCGTCAGTTGAGACCATGCTGGGCGTAATGGTCTGACTTGGTATAAGGTAGCTTCCTACATAGTCCTAAATATCAGCTCAGTGGGTAGAGCATACTCCTCAGGGTTGTGGGTTCAAGTCTCACATTGGGCAAAAAGATTCCTGCGTTGCAGGAGGCTGGACTAGATAATCCTTGTGGTCCCTTTCCAACTCTACAGTTCTTCGTCTATGAGTCTATAGCTACCAGCCCTGTTTTAATTAACTGGAAGCTGCTCAGGGTGGATGGAGCAACACAGCCAGATGGACTGTAAATGAATCATCATCACCATGAGGTCTAGAATCTTGTCTGTTTAGTGGACAAAGTGCCAGAGTGTATCTGCTTTGCATGCAGAAGGTCTCAAGTTCAGTTTCTGGCATCTCCGGGTTATTTATTTCATAAAACTTGCACACCGCTTGACTGTAGGGAAAAGCCTCAAGGTGGTTGGGGGGGGGGGATAGGCAAAGCAATTAAACCATCCCAGGAAAAAAAATTACAGCCGTGATTCCAAACGTGCCGAAAGTTAAAACTGCAACAGACGAAAACAAATTAAAACTCATACCAGCTTCCTAAACATCTGGCGTGGCTTGTCTCAAAAAGAATGTCTTTGGCAGGCGATGAAAAGAATACAGAGAAGGTGGAAAGAAAACAGGGGAGACACCTGCCTGATAGCAATAGGCAGGGAGTTCCAAAGTTGCCGCCACTCTAAAACGGCTGAGCTCTTCCAGATGCGGTGTGGGTCTTGTACGGCCCCCACCTGAGGCCCTGGGCTGCTGCTGCCAGCCAGTGCAGACGGTACTGAGCTAGGCGAACCTACAAAGTAGGAGAAAGAAGTCTTACCTCTCTCCACGCAGAGCAGAACTGCCAGCAGCGCGGCGAAGGAAGCCTTCATCCTTGGTGATGGTGCGCTTTGCGGTGCCGGCGGGCAGGTGAGCAGAAAGGGCTTCTCTCCGGGTCAGAGGAACGGCGCTAGGAGCTGCCTGCTCGCGTCGAGGGTGCTGTATAAGGGCTCGGTGGCAGGGGAGGGGTCAGGGAGGTGTGGGTTTGAGGAGGAGGTTTCTGCAGCCACTCTCCGGGATCCCGGATCAACCACAGGGAGGAGGAGGGCGCAAAAGCTCTCCAAAGGGACATTCCAAGCGGCTGCGCTTTGCTCCAGTTCCTTCGCAGGCGATGAAAAGAATGCAGATGAGGGCGAAAACAGTAGGACATTCAGCCAATGGGGGAAGGAACAAAGGAGACGGGGAGAGGCGCACACTCTTTCCAGCTCTGGTCCTCATTTTGTCTGTATTCTGGGCTGGAAAGAGAGAGAGAGAGCGCGCATTCGTTCCAGGATTTCAAAAGGTGGTGTGTGGCCAAACGCGTTGCGTGACTTTGCAAGGACGCACAGAGAAGGGGAAAGGGCAGGAGGAGGGCTCTGGCAGCGCAGAGGGCGAGCAATTGCGCACAGGCTCGCGGAATGGCAGGGCTGGCCGGGACCCCCAAAGATCATCCAGCCCAACCCCCTTGCAACCACGGCTCCGGAAACCCAGGCAGGCGGCCAGCCAACCTCTGCTGAAAGGCCTCCGACGAAGGAGAGTCTGCCACTTTTTCCAAGGCCACAGGACCGTAGAAATGTAGAGTTGGAAGGGACCCCCAAAGCTCATCTAGTTCAGCCAGCAGCTGAGGAATCCCTGCCAAAATCCCACAGTTATGTTGAATAGCAGAGAACATAAAGCAGGGCCTGTACAGTGGTACCTCAGGTTAAGTATTTAATTCGTTCTGAAAGTCCGTTCTTAACCTGAAACTGTTCTTAACCTGAAGCACCACTTTAGCTAATGGGGCCTCCTGCTGCCGCCACGCCACCAGAGCATGATTTCTGTTCTCATCCTGAAGCAAAGTTCTTAACCTAGTACTATTTCTGGATTAGCGGAGTCTGTAACCTGAAGTGTATGTAACCCGAGGTACCACTGTATAGGAATGTGCCCTTCTTTCCAGGCAGGTTAGTATGTTAGGAGGGGCTTCAAAAGCTACCCTGTCCTCAGGTCATTGGGGGGGTTATTTATTTAGTATGCATTTATTTATACTCAAGAGCTCAAGGTGACATACTGTACATGGTTTTCTGGTCCTGTTTTACCCTCACAAAAGCCCCATGAGGCTGGTTAGGCTCCAGGGCAGTGAGCTTCTTGGACCTGTGGGGATTGAAACCTGGGTCTCTTGGGTTAGAGTCTGGCACTTTAACCATTACACTACACTGCGTCTCTCTCTAAAAAATAAATTAAAATCAGAACAGGATCACAGGAAAGTGCCTTATTCCACTGGTGTCATTTGGCTCAGTATTCCTTCTCTCTCTCTCTCTCTCTCTCTCTCTCTCTCTCTCTCTCTGCAATACAGTGGTACCTCGGGTTAAGAACTTAATTTGTTCTGGAGGTCTGTTCTTAACCTGAAGCACCACTTTAGCTAAAGGGGCCTCCTGCTGATGCCGTGCTGCCGGCACACGATTTCTGTTCTCAACCTGGGGCGAAGTTCTTAACCCAAGGTAATATTTCTGGGTTAGCAGAGTCTGTAACCTGAAGCATATGTAACCCAAGGTACTAACTGGCAGGAGGTTTTCAGGTAGGGGTTCTCCCCCATCCCAGCTGGAAATGTCAAGAATTGCACCTGAGGCCTTCTGCATTCAAGGCAGATGCCCTGCCTCTAAACCAGGGGTAGGCAACCTAAGGTCCGTGAGCCGGATGCGGCCCAATTGCCTTCTCAATCTGGCCCACAGACGGTCCAGGAATCAGCGTGTTTTTACATGAGTAGAATGTGTGCTTTTATTTAAAATGCATCTCTGGGTTATTTGTGGGGCATAGGAATTCCTTCATTTCCCCCCACCAAATATAGTCCGGCCCACCACAAGGTCTGAGGGACAGTGGACTGGCCTCCTGCCGAAAAAGTTTGCTGGCCCCTGCTCTAAGCTATGGACCTCCTATCGCAAGCAGAGTCTGAAAAAACAAACTGCCCATCAGTTGGGAAAGGATTCAAGTGACTACCTGTAATCTCCTGGCCTGTTATAAGAACAGAAGATGCAATCCTAGAACAAGAGTAATTACGGTCCTACCTCATGTTACATCCACTTCATGTTACGTTTTTCATGTTATGTCCCATGGCAACCCGGAAATACCGGAAAGGGTTACTTCTGGGTTTCGCCGCTTGCGCATGCGCAGAAGCGCAAAATGACATCATGCGCATGTGCAGAAGCGCCGCTGTGGGTTGCGCTCTTCTCATGTTGCGAACGGGATCCGTTCTGGAGATACCACTGTATAAGTGAGGGTTTTCAAAACAAACAAACAAAAAGCAGAAAACAGAATTCAAACAAGAGTAATCATAGCGAGGGGGGGGGGCTGATCAGTTGAACAACCATAAAGAGGTACCACTTAGTCCAACATCCTGTTCTCTCAGTCAGCAACCAGATACCCATTATGGGAAACCATCAAGGAGTATCCGACCACAAGAGTCCTCTCCCCTCCTGTGGTTTCCAGCAACTGCCTCTGAGAGCCAGTGTGGTGTAGTGTTTAAGAGCGGTAGACTCGTAATCTGGGGAACTGGGTTCGCGTCCCCTTTCCTCCACATGCAGCTGCTGGGTGACCTTGGGCCAGTCACACTTCTGTGAAGTCTCTCAGCCTCACTCACCTCACAGAGTGTTTGTTGTGGAGGAGGAAGGGAAAGGAGATTGTTAGCCGCTTTGAGACTCCTTAGGGTAGTGATAAAGCGGGATATCAAATCCAAACGCTTCTTCTTCTTCTTCTCTGACTCTGTGGAGGTAGGGCAGAGGCATCATGGCTAATAGCCAGTGCCAGATTTACATATAAGCTAAACAAGCTACAGTGGTACCTCTGGTTACGAACTTTATTCGTTCCGGAGGTCAGTCCTTAACCTGAAACCGTTCTTAACCTGAGGTACCACTTTAGCTAATAGGACCTCCCACAGCTGCTGCTGCGCAATTTCCGTTCTCATCCTGAGGCAAAGTTCTTAACCCGAGGTACTATTTCTGGGTTAGCGGAGTCTGTAACCCAAAGTGTTTGTAACCCGAGCTACCACTGTACAGTCAAACCTCAGGTTACAGATGCTTCAGGTTGCGTGATTTTGGGTTGCGCACCATGCCAAACCTGGAAGTACCGGAATGAGTTACTTCCGGATTTTGTCGCTTGCGCATGCGCAGAAGCACCAAATCGCAACCCGCGCGTGCACAGACGCGGCGTTGCGGGTTGCGAATGTGCTTCCAGCACGGATCACATTCGCAACCCGAGCATCCACTGTATAGCTTTGGGCCCTACTCTGTTGGGGGCCCCAAAAAAAATTAAAGGGGAAAAAACCTGGATGTACATTTCCAAAATATAAGATGAAAAACAAATAAAATAAAACGTACATACAGCAACAGTGTTTTGTGTTGTGTAGGATCCTATGATGATGATGATGAAGAAGAAGAGTTGAGTTGGATTTGATATCCCGCCTTTCACTCCCCTTCAGGAGTCTCAAAGCAGCTCACAATCTCCTTTTCCCTTCCCTCCCCAACAACAAACACTCTGTGAGGTGAGTGGGGCTGAGAGACTTCAGAGAAGTGTGGCTGGCCCAAGGTCACCCAGCAGCTGCATGTGGAGGAGCGGGAATCCGAACCCGGTTCACCAGATTACGAGTCTACCACTCTTAACCACTACACCACACTGGCTCTCATGATGTAACTAATGGCCTCCCCGCCTGTTAGCCTGCTCCCTAAAATATCACTGGTTTGCTCACTATGAGTCTAAAGGAACTTTTATTACTGCCAAATGCCAATGTGTTTGCATTATTAAGTTTGTTACGAATAAAAAATCATTTTAGGTTAGAGCTTAACAATTATTGCAACCTCCAAGTGCAAGCGGTCATAATCCGTGGCCCTCTAGCTTTGCTCAGGTGGAAAGAAGACAAAGTCCCTACCAGAGAAGAATGGCAAACCAAGCTGTTAAGACTACGCCAAAATGGCAAAACTTGCCAGAAAGCTCAGGAACCAAGAAAACGAAAACTTCAATAAAGAATGGAAAAAAATATTATTTATTTACGAGACCGCTGTAAGCCGATGAAAACATTAGCAGGTTTTTAATAACACTTGTAGTGTAGCATTTATCATGGACAATATGGAAACAGATAAAACGTGAATTGTGGAATAATATGCAGTTGAAAAGGTTGACAAAAGGACCCATAGAGGGGGATTTTGGGAAGTCTGGAGATTCAGAGAAATCTCTAAATATGGATATGTATTTGGTATTGTTATAATTTTACACTTGCAAAATCAAATACCGTATTTTTTGCTCTATAAGACTCACTTTTTCCCTCCTAAAAAGTAAGGGGGAAATGTGTGTGCGTCTTATGGAGCGAATGCAGGCTGCGCAGCTATCCCAGAAGCCAGAACAGCAAGAGGGATTGCTGCTTTCACTGCGCAGCGATTCCTCTTGCTGTTCTGGCTTCTGAGATTCAGAATATTTGTTTGTTTTGTTTTCCTCCTCCAAAAACTAGGTGCGTCTTGTGGTCTGGTGTGTCTTGTAGAGTGAAAAATATGGTAATTTTATTTTTAAAAGCTTTCCAAGTTGGTTTTAAAGCCATCTCATGGGGAAGTGAGTTCCATAGTTAAACGATGCCCTTTTCTCTGTCCTGAATCTTCCCACATTCGGTTTTCTTGGATGGCCACCAGTTCTGGAACCACTGGGAAAGGCCACACAACCTTCCAAGAAATCTAGCAAAGGGCTCAGTTCCCTACACAACTTCGGAAAGGAGGTTTCAGGAGGGAGGGTTGTGACGTCGCTGAAACTCTTTTAATTATTACTTGTTCTGAAAGGCAGGTTTGCTTCCCTCGTAATGCTAAGGACATAAGGTGAGTGTGCTGGATCCAGTCAATGGCTCATCTAATCTGGCATCCTCTTCTCACAGTGGCCAACTGGATGCGTCCACGGAAAACCCACAAACAGATCCGAGCAACGGATCAGTCTCCTCTCCCATGGTTTCCAACATCTGGCATTCATAATAATGGCTGCCTCCAGCTGTGGAATGCTTCAAAACAAACCCAGCTGCAGGAAATAATAATATTAGGCTGCATGCACATCAGTGCACAACCCACAAGTTCAAAAACACTAAGAAGCATGCAGAACACACCCAAGACTTCCGAAAGGTTTAAAGAGATCTTAATCCCTCAGAGGAAGGG